CTTCTTCGGCGAAAAGCAGTAAGTTTGAGGAGATGACTCTTGCCAGGTCGTTGATAAACACCAGGGATAAGCGTGGTCCCAGCACTGAGCCTTGTGGGACACCACAATCGACCTTAATTGGGTTAGAAAGTGAACCCCTAACACGTACTTGAAGCTTTCGTTGGTAAAGGAAGTTGCCAATCCAATTAAGTACAGGATCTCAGATTCTGTAACTGTGTAGTCTTCCAAGTAGATCAGTTATTTTCGAAATTCGAGCAAGCATCATTCTGTTTGATGTTGGGTAATTACGTTTAGATAGCTGCACTGTGTCGAATAGCTGTCGCAAATAAGACTCGAAGCTGCGAATATAATTCTGCTACTTAATCTGTTGCCCGCAACCATACTCACCACTTCGCCAAACGGTGTTATTTTTGGCATTAATTATCAGGTATCGGCAAGTCGTGTGTTTGACTATCGGAATGCCCACCTGACGAAAATTTCGTTGTACTAGCATTTGTACATTTACCAAAAGGTTACCATTATATATGCTGTTTACAAATGAGTAAAAACATGAGTGGTATGAATTGTCTTTGTTCGAGCGAGCAAGGATCCAAAAAGTGAACTAAATCTTCGGAATTGGTATCCATTCAAAACGGAAAAGCTTTCGTTTGATTTTTCGTCAGCACTGGTTTCAATTAATGCAACATGTTTTGTCCAAAGCAGTATATATGGGATCGGGTGCGACATCTCGCATTGGTTTGTCTCGTATTTACCAATCATTATTTCCTCACTTCATGGTTTACACGGCGACACAATAGCCATCGACTTGAATAATGCCTCACTTAACAAGTGCTCGTTTGATGATAGAAATTGAACCGATCAATGTGGAAATGGATACAGGGGCCGCAATTACCATGTGATTCCAAATTTCACACGTGCACGGGAGATCCGATTGGGGTATTATAAAAGTTCATGGTTAAAGTCAGGCACGGCGGCGTAATTAACTGTCTTTGATCGTGGTACCTGGTAAATGACCAAATCCCTTGGACAGCAATTTGATCCGATACTTACCGGATACGATGCAGATTAATGAGGTTGTGATCAATGACAGCAATCTAAACCATATGTTGTAACAATTTTCTTTTTTAGTCGAAAATAAGTTAGGAAAACTGAAATATTTCAAAACTTCCATCAACTACAGTATTCAGTATTCAACTACAGGAAAACATCAATGCCGAACTTTACAAAGCACGAAACAATGCGTGACTTTACTATCAGAGTCAAACACGCGTAAGTAACACGAGACGAAAACATAAAGATCATACAGCCCTAAGGACAAACTGCAAAGCTAGGGAGCTCGTCAAAATACTGCATCGCAGAAACATGGACCGCTATTCTCTAATTACCGAAATTGTTAATGGTGTCGGTCACTCACTCCATCACGCAGCTGAAATCTGTGAAGCATTCAGCGAAATTTTTTCAGTACCTTGAGTCGTGAAGCTGACCCGGTGCATGTGTGCACCGAGCTCACCGAAGCAAACCTCTTAAACTTAGTCGATATCTTGCTCAACGATATCCATAAAGTTATTAAACTAATCAGGCCATCTTCCAAGCTGGGATCTGTTGGGATTTTGCCAACCACCATTAAACTAGGAGGAATCTGGCCACTTTCCAGACCAATGGAAAACGTCCTTTATTCTGTCCGGCATAAAGGAGGTCCCAAACAAACGATTGATAACTACCGACCAATCCACCAGATTCTTATAATTGCACGGCTATTAGAAGAGTTGAGCAAAATGGAGATGATGAACTTTGTTGATTATATTGGCGTAAACAAGAAATTGCAGCATGGTTTTCTCAATATGCCATCGCGCACCACCTGTTTACTGCATAACCATAATCACATTTCAGAATCAATCGATTCCGGGTTTTCAGTAGTAATCTTGTTTCTTGACATACACCAAACGTTCGACCGACTACCGCGTAAGCGACTACTACAAAGTTGGAGAACTTTAGGATCCGGCACCCATTAATAGGTTGGCTATCGTTATACCTGTGTGATCGTCATCAGGTGGTCATTATAAGTGATTATCGCTCTTCCCCACACTCAATGACCAGTGGTGTCACGCAAGGGAACATGCTCGGTCCCTTACTCTTTCTGCTGCACGTCAATGACATCAACACATCTGTAAAAGATGGTACATCCTTTGTATTTGCTGACGACAGCAAATAGTCTATAAGTTTCGGCGTGATGAGCTTCACTTTACGTTACTGCTCATTCAAGGTGATTTACCTTTATTCGAGTCATGGCGCGGCAACTGGGTGATGAACTTCTCGGATAAAATATCAAGCATCATGGCTTACGGCTGCTACATTCCCGAAGGATCTATCACACTAAACAATGAAGGCGTCCCTACATAGTTGTCCACTCAAGATCTTGGGATTAGGTACCTGCCTGGCTTCAATTTATCCGAACAAGCCCATACGAAGTAGAACGTGCCAGACAGTCTATGTTCAATATAGCAAACAAAATACACATAACTCGTGTAGGAGTTGAGCTTTTCACGCTACTCGTTCTCCGCATCCTGGAATACTGCAGCATAATATACGGCAATATGAGAAAGAGTGACAGAATTGCTGTGGAGAACCTGTAGAGGTTAGTTACTAAACATCTGATTAGTAAAAGCTCTGCTATGGGTTATCGAGAATGTTGCAAAGAACTTCAACTCGAACCAATTTGGATTCGATCATTGAAGCACAACTTGTAGCAGCTTTGCAACATGTTACACAGAAAACCTATTCCATCTGTCTACACTCAGTTTACAATATTGGTCAACTCGAGCGCTTGTCAACAAAGGGTTTACATTGAATATAGCGAAGGTTAAAACGAACGTCCGCTCTAATTCCTTCCTTGTTATGTACAGGTATCTGTGGAATAAAGTAGCAATAACATTTAGGTCATGTGACAGTGTGACAACCTTCAGTAGCAGACTCGCCAAGGGGTTTTTTTACATAGGGAAACCAGTTCGTTATATAGCACAACGCACAAACATGAAAGCCAACCAGGGTGCGAAAAGCAAGCGGACAATTAAAGCCAATAAGAGTGGAACAAATGGAGAACCAATCAAGTGCACACAAAGTACGTAAGGTGAGAGTGATAGCGTCAAAGTATGCCTACGATCTGAAGGCAAAAACAACGACTACAAATAGCCAATAGGGATGATGAAATGATGCGTTAAAACAAACATCGGTGAACCTCCATGGTAGAACGAAAGTCTGCAGTCATGAACGGCTACAGATGCGTACCCGTAGTTTACTTTCCTCTCCAACACGTTGGCAGCTATAGTAGCGCCCGTAAGATTGAAGATAAGCTTACGAACCGCCTAGCGTATGCTTGGGGAGCTTTTGCCAATCTCTGCTAATTGTGGTGCCGATGCGACGTCACTCTCGCCCTGAAGGGCAGTGTTAACAATCCAACCGCCCTTTCAACCGTCCTATACGGCTGTGAAATCCGGCCCATCAGGTTCACATGCATAAAGATATTAGTAAGATTCAATCATCATTGCCTTCGCAGCAAAGCTCATGTCTCGTGGGAGCACCGTGTTAAACTAAGCGTGTTCGGCATCGCGCATAAGTTGCAGGAAGTGCGCGTTAACCGCTCAGCACTATTGTATCACGCGTCAGGCTCCGATGGTTGGGGCATGTGTCGCGCATGCCAGGTCACCGACTCCGGCGACGTGCGTTGTTCTCGCACCGGCGGTGCGGTTAGAAGAGGAGGACGGGAGGCAAAGCAATGGATTGCTCGGAAGAACCGAAAACCCTCACTTCGAAGTCGGCGTCGGTTGGTGCATCCCGACTACCTGGCTGGGGTCCTATGGACAACGAGTACGTTTGTTTGGAGACACACTTGTCATAGCGAAGAGCCGGCCCCTATGACATTTGGGTTCCGTATTGTTGTTCATTGCCGTCCCCTTTACTTTCCTCGTTCCTCTTGTATGACGTAACATCTAACACTGTATTATTTTCGTTTGAGTTCATTGTAGCGTACTGTGGTAGTACCTGATCTTTTTCTTTTGTGTCACATTTTTGCTGAGGTGTGTTGCCTCACCCTCAGCCAACGTATATTGGTGATGGTGTTGCCAACAACTACAGCGCATAAACCGAAGTGGTCCATCCATCCATCACATGTTTCAATTCCATCAGTGACTTTCCTGTAATATTCCCTACCTATTCACTATCTACTGTTCAACTGTCAATCCTGCCATCCCAACTGCATTGCAAGGCGCCAGCCTGAAAGTGCGATCGAACACAATTTTCGTCTCGACAGGATATTTGACCGACGATGGACTGCATACCGAAGCCGTACGCGGGGTCCATTGTAAGCGATTCCTGCCTGATTTGCGCTTAGGTCAGGCGTGTGCGGATGCGACCAACCAGTGGACCAATGCCGCCGCGACGTATGGGCGTTGAGCATAATGGATGCAACTGCTGCGCTGACGCGTCGATGGTCATGTGACATGACAGTTGATTAAAATGCCTCAAAACTGATTGGCTCAATTTGACAAGCTTCGGTGTGATGAAAGCGAAGCCGTTATGACTCGTTTCAAAGTGTGTTTGTGTATCTCACTTGTCCATTTTCGTCCACAAACCCACGTGAATCTGTCGACGAATGAAGTGACGACGTTTTGTTAGCACCTTTACTTTCGGACCTTCTTCCTGCGTTGCTTGACTGTTTGCATCAAACTTTCGGTTACACTTCCTTCTCGGTTGCCCATAGAACTGCTCATGCGACGTCGTTCGTTCTCCTTGCTTCGTGTGTCCGTGCTTTTGCGCAGGTTGTCGTCTATGATTTTGTGCTTTCTGTGATGTCTGTCCGTCGTTGTTATTTTGGAAATGCGCTTCAACACATCGGTGCTCTACTTTCAGCTTACATTCGTACGCCTGCCGCGAAACTAGGTTACATCGGAAATCAGTGGTGTACCGGATATTCCCCGCAGCTTTGTGCCGTGCGTCTTGCAGCAATGTCGGATAAGAAGGTTCCGGCACTTGAGGTGCAACCTGATAAGGAACTGTTCTTCAAAGGTGAGAATCCTTCCATTCTCTTTTGTCGTGCATCTAGTGAAATTATCGCGCTCTATCGATAGGAGGCCAATTGTAGTGAGTGCTTATATTCCATGGAATTACAGTGCACCTTGTTGCAAGATTCTGCATCGACTTGCTAAAATGGTTGTGTTTGGCCGTCAAATGCATTCTAGCGTTCAGTCCCTGAAGTTGAATCCCGTAGGCTCCAATAACAGCGTTCTATACGCTATTTAATTGCTTGCTCCACTCTTGATGTTCGTGGCTAAGCCTCTTGTTCTATGATATAATGCGATTTTACTCACGCGAACATACGTTGTTGTCCGACCACTCCATCTAACCAATGAATTGCACTGATGCATGGTACATTGCGCGGAAGGGAACAAGATTGCTTCAGTTGCATTTCTCGCAGCGAGCTAACACTTAGTTAACCATGCGCCTCTAACTAAGGTCGATCACGTTGTCGGCGGTATCAACGGTGCACCCCATGGGTTGGGATGCAACCGCGATCGTCACAGGGGATAATACATGCTAACGCACAACAAATGTAGTGCGTCCGAACCCAGGAGCACGGGAGTCCCGTTTCACGTAGCTGTACCGGAGATGTCTATTTGTTTGTGTAACTGCGATGGATAGGGCTCTGTTCTCCAAGTTCACACCCACTACGTAGTGTGTCGCGAGAAGCAACCGCCCTCACTTCATTTACATTACTGTTCCAGGTGTTGGGTTATCATACTCGTCCAAATCATTGGCCAAACCACGATAAAGCCGACTAGGTGGGAGACAGACTTGTGCGGTGTTACTCAGATGCTGATCGCAAGCGGTGGCATGCAAGTGGCGTAACGAGTTCATAAGTACGATGAACAGTTAGATCGTCTGGAGCGCAGGTAGAGAGAAGCAGACAGCAGTATGCAGCGTGACTAACCAGAGGATAAAGTGTACGGTATGTACAATCAGTTAGATAAGTGAATGGTCAAAAGATGTAAACAAGAATAAAATTCAACATCTCAAATTACTGAATGCGTGAATGATTCAGCTTCACTACAGATTCGAACCGTAGCATGCCTCCGGACAGCAATTGCTGCTACTTGTCAATTGAGGTGATGTTGTGTATTCTGTCAGCTGTCTGGGCGTCTAGTCTAGACAGACACGTGCACACAACCCAGACACACACACACACACACAAAGCGTCTAATTCCCTACTTCCTTATTGGTTCATCCTTCTCCTTGCGAAACCTTATTGTACTCACCCAGTTAGACATTGTTCAGATTACAACAGTCCGTTTCCGAGAGTGACCTTTTCGTATACAACACATATACTGACTCAACTTGACTATTGCTCTGACAAGGTGACACAAAACCAAAGCACCGACAATTTTGTATTAGTACTACGTGCAATCTTAACAGACTGTGGATTTGCAACTACCATAAAAATTCTCTTTTGTACACTCTTTTCCGGCACCGGAAAAAATACTTGGCAGTATATCTATTAGTTTTGTTGAAAACCTTGCTAATCGTTTGTACACACCTTGTGAGCCGCCTCTTAGAGGATCTTTCCATACGCGTCTGTTCACACACTGCCAATACTCTACTCATCCGACACGAAATTAGTTACTCTATCCTTTGGATTATCACGTGTAGGAATTATTTCATCGCCTTATCACTTAAATAACCTTAGCGGCTTTTGAAGAGATTTGTCAGCTAGCTTACCATGTGGCCTGACCACTTTATCCTTCGACGGTTATCGATATACCCTGCAGTCCTGTCAACTGCGTCGTCTTGTTGCTCACAGCGCTCCGCCCTGTTAACAGGACTTTAACTCACACAAGCCGTCCTCAGACTTTGCGGCTTTTGGACCGGTACCTAAACTAAAACAACCGTGCAGTTTGAGTGTCTCAAGTCCGTGCAGGTTGGGTTTCTCGCGTTCAGTCAAAACACAGGGCAGTGTATGAACCATAAGCCAAGTGGACTCATCCACCCGCATGGCTGGGGTGCGCAACCGGCCAGTTGGAAAAATACGCAAGGTCAACTAGCCTACAGTGTAAGATAGCAGCACTATGCAAAGTGGCAGAAAGCAAGTATATGCAATCCGAAAGGACTCCAGGTAAAGGATAATCGGGTCCGTAGGATGTAAGTGCTTTATAAAATTTGGTTTATGCTGCGAACACTGTTTCAAATGATACCAACTAACGTGTGCAAATGTTTCCAACTACCAGTGCGAGGTCGAAAAGCTTCTAATCTGATTTCGTGTTTTATACTGCATGTTTGGCAGTATCATTAGTCAACTGTATACTTTTCCTGGTCTCAAATTGAAACCAGTTGACAGAATAAGTTAAACAACGAATGAATGTTAATAAGATATCACTGGAAACGGTTATGCATAGGGAAAACACAATGCCTTCAAAGAGAACCAGTGGTGCACACTTTTGCTTCGAACGACAATTGACGAGGTCTTAAATGCCCTTACCACCATCAATTTTGGAAGAAGGCCAGAGGAAAAGTGACCGGGGCTGTGTTAGTCATACGGTACTCAGTACCACAAAGTCCTGGCACCACCCGAAACTTGTAATCGATGCAATTCAACCGGACTTTACAGCTTATATCATTTAGAAGGATGAGACAGCCGAACCCGAGTCTACTACATCTGCAACTCAAGACTAGCTGGTAGGGTGCAAATCACCCAAGACCTCCGACACATATAAATAGCTTGTTGCAAACGTGCGAATCCATCCATCTGAACTTCGGTTAAAAGCTTCTGAATCATTGGGAATACCAGACACCATTCTATCTGAAAAGCAATCCTACCAAGTATTATGCAGGAGCATTACTTTACCGCTCGGTTAAGCGATTTCGAAGCTGGTCCGGAGAAGGAATAGGAGCTAGTGTGGCCAAATCAGTCTGCGAACGAGATACCATCCTCATCCCATCACAAAAAGGAATGACTTCCTACCTCACATCGGTCGATCTTCTACCGCCTTTTTGAGCCTTTGGCTCACAGTGGGCTCATGAAGACCAAAGAACTACCCTGCCTTTATACAAATGCTCAAGTCTCTTTGCCAAGCTGGCCGAACTGAACTTTCGCTAATTTTCGAAGCCTTACGATATTATCGGTGCCATGGAGACAAGGTTGCACACTGGGATGACGGCCGCCGAAATCTCGCTGTCGGGCATGACATTGATAAGAAATGACAGGCTTAGGAAAGGAGAAGTGGGAATTCGGTATTACTGAAGGGACCTACAATGCAAGGCCGTTGAGGATGCAGACGTACAGTCCGTCAATTCTCTTTGGTGCCACCTGCAATTACATGGCAGAGAAAGCTGCCTTACAGCTTTGGTGTGCCACTCCCCAACCTCTAAAAGAGAAATAAATTGCCACCTTGTAACAGTTTTAAGATGCAGTCTTAACCAAATAACACGCACATTCTTATCATGGGTAATTTCAACGTACACTGTATGGAAACTCATGCTTAATAGGAGAATCATTCAAAGCAGGTCGGTAAGTGCTTCTTCTCAGTGTTTCAATTTACCATCTCGTCATTATGCCCATTCGTTGCAAAACAGGTAATAGCCCTTGTTTGCTGGATCTAATGTTCACCAAGTAGGAACATATGATTGATGCGTTGATCGTAGAATGCTATTTAGGTCGCAGTGATCATGCATCATCAGTTTCGGCGTCATGCGGAATATTGCGGAATATTGTAACCAGAACCCTGAGTTGGTGCTCACCACTACGCGCTACAAAAGCTTAGCCCAGCTCGACAGTGCTACCCCCCTGGTCGTTCTTTGCTGAAGGCCATCTGGAAGATGTTTGGCTTGAATTCGTCAGCAGATTCAACCAACTGGTTCCGCATGTCTCAAAGAAAGGGTTTTCAATTTACACAAAATCATTTCTTTCGTGAGGAGCAGAAGTCGAAGATGGGTGACGTACCGCAACACCGCCTTGCGAGGGTACAGATCATCAATAGCGAGAGCTAATTGGTACAAATACCTAGCCCATCGTAGCCATTGCACTCAAGTGGTTAGAGTTAATATTTCGCATGTCAGCAGAACATGGCGAAAGCATTCAGCGCTAAATACGAACTGCTGTACAAGTATGTCAATGGCCGTCGGAAGTTCTGACAGGCAATACCTCCACTCCGGATGACTAATGGTGCAGCTAAAAGACGATAGACGCAACAGAATGCGTTGCGGATGTAATATGCTTCCATATTTCAGAGGGTCTTACTATCAGTCAATCTTCCAGCTGCTGTGTTTTCGTCTCCTGAACTCATTCAACTTACAACGTGCTCGTGTTGTTGTGTGTCGCTACAAAGAAAGCAACTGCCCAAAAGTGGTACAATACACCACCTATCGAGCGTCTGCAGATGAGAACCCTCGCCACATCTAATCTCGCTCAATCGAGGCCCCATAATAAGCTGCCGCTTACGGAGAAAAAACATTCTGGAAGCATTAGCGACGTAAAGTCCATCGACTTGAATACGTGTAACCTAACAAGTGCCATCCATATACGGTTCGTTTGACGATCAAGAACGAACCGATTGATATGGAACTGGATACAGGGGCTGCAGTTACCATGTGATTTCAAATTCCAAACTTCCACGTAAAATCCGATTAGGGTATTTTAAAAGTTCATGGTTAAAGTCAGGCACGGCGGCGGCAATTAACTGCCTTTGATCGTGGTACCTGGGAAATGACCAAATCCCTTGGACAGTAATGGGATCCGATACTTCCCGGAGACGATGGAGATTAATGAGGTCGTCATAAAAGACAGCAATATAAACCATCTGTTGAAAGAATATTCGTTTCAGTTAAAAATACATTAGGAAAGCTGCAACATTTCAAAGCTTTCATCAATTATAGAATATCAATGCCGAGCTTTACAAAGCACGAACAAATGCATGAATTAAACACCAGAGTCAAAAACTCGTAATTAACACAATGAAAATATAAAGAACATACAACCATACGAACAAGCTGCAAAGATACGAAGCTTGTCGAAATAC